TGGTTGCTGTTACACAGCTAATAGGTTATGATTATTTTGTGTTATTGTGACTCCTGTATTTTATTTTTAAAAAATGTCATGAAAAGCTACATTTCCTAGACTTTAGTGGCCTCGCGCAGACGCATGTGAAACATCAATAATTCTCCAGGTTTCCGTTTAGATGAAAATATTGAAATATAAAAACAAAAATCGTTCATTGCCATAACTTTAAGAGTTCTCTTTCTTTGACGTGAGCGTTAACCTTAAGGAAGGCACATTTGCCGTTAGGTACTATGATAAGAACCCATAATAGTTACGAGTGCTATTGTCAGCAACTGCCGCTTTGGTCGTCCGAGTTTGGAAGTATTGTCGCCTAGCAGCTTATTGGCTACCCGGTCGAAGCAGCTGACAGCGCCATGATTGGAACTGCAGCCGAAAGCGTTTTGCTGTGGACGGCCATCGGCTGAAGGCGTAACGATCTGGGTCGTGCCTGTCTGCCAAGCGCTTCGTCGGGTCGATGCAAACAAGGAGGAAGCTAATTATTCTGAGAGCAAACCGTTCCGTGGCGACCAGCGACAGTAGGCTATTTAAACGTTAGGTAGAGTAAAGTAGATGTTCTACGTATTCAAGTCAGGCATAGGCGTCGCTTCACGGGAAAGCACAGATAGGCCGACTTGTGAATCGGGACTGAAAGCTCCCTAATACAATTTGAGCAATAGCCTTGAATCATGTATGTAAATATGTGGACTGCCGAACTGCATAAACTAGACAATGTTCAATAGAAAAGCCGCTCGTCTTTGACATAGAATTAACAATTGATTAAGGTTGAACTAGGTGTTTATTGTATTTATGGCTTCCATAATTAGTTATATAAAAACAAAGTATATATAATATTCGTACACAATGTTAATTAGAAAAAAGAAGGTGATCAAAGGTAAATAGATACGTAAGCAAACCTTGAATAAATTATGCCTTAACACTGTGAAGGTATAAAAGGATAGATAAAAGAAACCTTTTTGAAAAGGTGCTAGCTAAAGTTTCGAGATTCAATAGGTGATCGGAGTTGTTCGCATCTAATTGGGATATGATATACAGGATTAACGAACGTCATCAATAGGATGTTATCAGTTTTCTATGCACGCATATACAAAAACTACCGAACCATACGATAATTTTCCATGCATGGCAACCTAATCGAAGCATTAGTACCCACAAACGATATATATATATTATGCCTACTATTGCTCTTAGATCAGCTGGCCACACTTTATTTTGCCATGCAACATGACTGTCCATGACTTTAGAAATGGTCATATCTATTTATTAATAAAGAAAAAAAAGCTCGTCGTCTAGTCCTTGACAGTAATACAGACAATGTTACGTAGGCTTCGTCAATGCTAGGAGAATTGTCGATGGCGGCAAATGGATAGACGGCGACCGTTTGGATCGGGTCTTTGCTTCAACGTCGCTTATTACGATCATATACAATCAACGATCGCATCTTCATCAGCGCCGCCAATAGCGGCGGCAGTCCCGTAGACTACTTTCATTTATGGCTGGCCGCGATCACACTTACGGGATGGTGGTTTTAGTGAAATGGGCCGTGAGTAGGTGGAACAGATATATCACTTGCGTAATATCAACAAGGCGGTTGATCTACGTTTGTTCAGCGATGCTGATGTTCAATGCTAAACTGGAAACAGCCAGCGGTTGCAAGGATTAGGAAAAACGACACAAAATCGGGTAACGAAGCTAACGCTCAACGAGCACCGCTCGACAGTGTACACATTGGCATTATTATTATTATTGCTTTCACTCTATATGTAGATGTTGATTATTGACGGAGTGAGTGGCCTGTTTCTTTTACAACGGGTCGATGATAAGGGACATATGCTGGCTCACGTACAGCCCGTAACGGTTTTTTTACGAATGGACGGTACGAAGAGCTCCCTTCAAACGCTACGTTCAGAGCAGGATTTTGTGGTTTAGCTGCAAGCAATTAAATTTTTTTCTAGTATTAAATCGAGAACCATATATAGTTTACATTTATTATTAAAGTAAATTTTTATGTTCAGTAATGGAGAAACAAATGTTGCCTAACTTTAGTGTATATATATAGCCCTTGATAAACAGATACTATTTTTCTGGCAGGAATATTCTTCAGAGCGATATTATATTACTGTAATTGTTCTACGAAATTATTGCTTTAAATCTAAATTTACTGAAGTCGAAAAGGAAATCTCCGTTTTCAGATACTGTTTATGTCAGTTCTGAAAAACTCGCTGAAGATCAAATTAAGCCCATTGCACACTTGTTAACTAATTTAGTCTCGCAACATAGCTCAATAGATGGCATAAGGGTGCATCAAGCTCTATTTGTCTATTTTCATTTGGGCCAAATAAACGTATATTAATTTATCCGTACACTTTGATATTCCTAGCTATAAAGGATAATATTGGAATTATATATATCGTGTACTAAGGCTGAAGTGGCCGTTTCTTCCATGAAGGGACATAGTAATTTCTGAAAGAACAGTGCTGGTTAACCCTTGACTCGTTCGAACAGCAAATCGTTTAGCTTAACTGGAAAGCTACCCTATATGTTAAGCCAAAAAGCAGGCAGCAAAATTATTCAGTTTTGAGTATTTCAACCAAAGTATCTGATGCTTGAATTCGGTTTTCAGCTTGGGAAAACAGCATAACACATGACCACTATCTAGGGTTTATCTTCAGAGGAAAAAATGTTGTAAAGAAGAGACTACGTAATGTCTCACAGCATTATAACTGAGTCGGTTCCTTACTTTATCAAGTAGTTTTATCTATTCATTTTAAACGAACCTTATCAAACCCGAAAGATATTCATGATTTAGTGTATGTATGTAGATATCCATACATATAATACGCTTACGCTTATTATGCTTTTAACCTTTATATCATTTGTGTATCTATCGAGTAAAGACGTTGACATATTATTAGTGATAAAAGGCGACCACAAGGTTCGCTCTAGTCACCAGAATTTTATTTTTGTTATATTGTCGTTTTTTGCTGTTCCGGTAGCTTCTTCCTGTTGCTGCTGGTGCTGTTATTCCAGCCTTTCGTTCGGTCTCGTACCTTCGGAGACCCAGCTCATCGTAGATCTTTTATCATCTAATGTTGTAAACAGATGTTGTATAAATAAGATCTGCGCAAAAATTGCTCAAGCATGTGCAATCAGATGATCACGAACGCCTGAAGCTTATTGTTGTTGTTAATGTTTACACTTATCTCATTTCGTTTTTCAACGAAGTCTATTTTCTCTACTCTTTAACTGCTTTGCTTTCATTCCCATTCTGGTGCTTGAAGTTTTTAAATGTCTCATTATGAATAGCCTCGGTCAACCAACATACTTCTACAAGGAAAAATAAAGCGCTCTGTTTTCCTACTGCTGGCGTCTTTTTCATTTCGCCTCATAATTTTAGTAAATATTTTTTTAATTTTTGTCTTTATTGTTGTTGTTCTAATGTACTTCAATTTTTTTTATTTTTCGCTTTTTGCTTTCACCGCCTAGTTTTCGGTATACACCCATTTTTTTTTATCATTGTCAGTCAACAAACACTCGAGAATTATGTGTATCATTTTTACTTCAGTCTGTTTTAATTAATTATAATTCAAGTCTCAAGGAACAGACCGCTGTCGTGTATATATATATATATATACTGTGTGCCCTAACATTGCCGAAGCTCACCGACGCTCCGCTTTGTTTCGCTTTATTAGGCGATAAACTATCAGCCTCATTCACGCATCACTAGGGAACGAACAAAGGTAATTTCTTCAAGTAATCCCCATAGTGTGCGCACGTGAGCAAACATGAACTTTATTGTTTTTCGTTCGATTTGTTCAAATACAGTCAGTATTGTCATCATCATTATCCATGCCTTTTCGCCCTAAAATCCTTATTCCTCTTGTTATAGTTTTTTTTTTAAATTTTTTTACTGTTGTCTTCCCATGCTTCTTATTTCAAGTATTTATTTTACTCACACTTCATTTCGGCATTAGCTGGTGGTCATCTTCATCATCCGAAAGGGGGCTCAACTTGATTCTTTTAGCCCAATCCGTCCTCTTACCCTGATCGACGCACTATATATTTATATCGACACAAGGTATATGCAATTCTAGCCTCTTCCCCACACATCTGATTGTTCGCTTTTCACTAGCATTATCAGTCACCTTCAGAACTATTACTTCCCTATTGTTATTATTACTCGTATAAAATTCTAGGAAGTATCAGAGGCCGGTACATTACCGGGCTCACTAATCCGTCATCTGCCTTGGCTCAAATTCGTGCCCATTGGAGTTCTTGTCAGCCCTTGTTCACACCAAATTTTCGTCTGCGTCGGCGAGGTCATCCTTCGAACATCTTCTGCGTTTCATCACTATCTACGATTCTTTCCCTTGCTTATCATGTTTGTTAGCGTTCAACTCTTGCTTATTTGCTGATTTTGCTAATTATGATCTTCCCTTAATTCTTGCTCGACACTAATTGTAACCTATAGGTCGGGCGACGCGTCTTTGATGTATGTTCAATAGGTGTTTGATGATCGTTGTCACTAATAGTGGCAATGATAATTATTAGTTTATTAGTCTGCCTCGTCGTTCACTTGAGATCAGCTGATTCATCGTCAACGAAGCCCATTTATTACATATCTTTCACTTCATATTATGTCGAGGACGGCGTCGCGCTGATAAACACAAAACAGTGTTCTTATTGTCTGCTCCATCCCTTTCATCGGTCACGTTATTCTTGTTTTTTGCTTGATGTTGTTTTTTAATTTCTTGATATCGATATATTATGTATATATGAATGTGTTCAGTGTATTACCCCGAAAGGAACACGTTAAGTAGAAGTCCTGTTGCGCCATCTGTCGATAAACCGACAAAAATCCTGGTCTTCACCATTAGTCTGCCTTAGCACTTGCAAAATATCAGAGAGTGAGAAGAAAAATCTACGGTAACGCCTTCGGTTAAATCGATCGATCGATAAGCCGACGCCGACCGAGGTTATTCATAGCTATTTTGTTTTGCTTTTTACTTGATGTGTTGTAGTGTAATTGTTGTTGTTGTTGTTGTCGTCGTCGTCGTCGTCGTCGTCGCGTGTATGCGCGCATGCGTAGTAATATATAATGTAATTATATGATATTCATGACGATGAGTGTGATAGGCATAATACAGCAGTATATACAGTAATACCTCCCGACTCTTTTTTCTGCCTTATTTTCATTCAGTGTTGCCCCAGTTTCATTATCATTGCTAGAACGTCTTTATTGTGTCCCACCTATCCGCTTCTTTTAATCGTTTTCATGAACATTTGTTAAATCTCCACCACTTCGCTCTAGTCACACAGATTGATTCGTACGCTTATCGATGCTGTTGTAGGCAACCGATGCTGCTCACTCGCGGGCGCACGAACTGCAACCCGTAAGTAAAAAGAGAAAACAAAATACAGCACAATCCTTTATGCTCTTTTACAGTGGGCACTTTGACAAGCTTCACCTAGAATGATGTCTTCAAAGCCCGTCCCGTCCTCGTCTCGAGATAACTGTGTGTCTCGCCTTTATTATTAATCACGTTTTAGTACCTCCTATTATCGTTATTAATATCTTTACTACATATCATTATTTTTAGCAGCATTCTTCTCGTTGTCCCATAGTTGATCATTGTAGATAATGTTTATTCCTCGCATCGTTCTCAACTTCCCTATCGCTCGTGTCGCTACATTCCTCCTTGCAATAGTCAATCTCAGTCGTTGTAGTAGTAGTAGTAGTAGTAGTAAGAACAACCAATACGGTAACGGCAGCCCAGTCAGACGACATTTGTTATTATTAGCATTGTCATGATTATTATCGTTGGACTTTTTCTACACATTTAATACGCCGCACTCTTGGATTTTCTCTTTTTCGTTGTTTCGCTATTTCGCTTGCTCTTTCTTTCTCATTCTCTCGCGACAAGAGTAGGAACAATGGGACTATGTATATTATTAGTCTTTTTATTATCTGTGTTCCCATTCATGTGGAAATTCCCTAATAATTCCTAGCTTTTGTTTTTCTTCGTCCTTTAGCTCACCTTCCTCTTTATACATTACACAAAGTAGCGATCAGTCAATGTACAAGGATTAGTAGCGTCGTCAAGCACTATTCTCTCCTCCAAACTTGTCCGTGCATTCTCTTCAACTGTACAACAGAACTGACCATCAAAGCTCTCGTTCAGTTCGGCGTTGTAGCAGTCTTAGAGTTATTTCGACTTGTAATTATTTTACTGGAGAAGTCGCAATAATCAATAAAGCAGTGCTTAGCATGATCGCTATAGGTCGAGATCGCCCACCTGCGCCACCTACCGGCGACTAATCCAATTAATTCTGGATTGGTGGTCGTAGAACGTTGTAATTGTTTTGCAATGCAACGGAAAGACGTAACACGTCCGTTGTCATTCGCACCAGGGTCGTTAATCAGTCTGATCTGGACTGCGGGGTCACCGCAGTGGCAGGCTGCAGCAAGGAACTGGCACCCGCGCGGAAACCTCACAGAGTCTCTTTCTGCCAAAATCCATGAGGTGTTTTTTCTGTTTAAATGCCCACTGGGCACCAGTACTGTTACTGCAAATGTTTTTTTTCGTTGCTCTATTCACCATCCGACGTCACCTATATTCACGTTAAATAGACAATCACATTCCTGTGCCACGTCGCGTTGTGGAGCTCAATTTGCTGTTACTGTGTTGTTTCATTATATAGATTGTAGTGATAGTAAACTAATGTCTCAATGAATGTTCAACATACTTCAGCGGTCTCAAGAGATCCAGCTGTGTGTTCGGTGTCGGTTGGTCTGGCTTTCTATTGAAGTTCGGCTTTTTTTTTTAAATCGAGTCAGGTGTTACTGTACTTTAGTATAACTGAGACACGAAGATATTCGTACAATTAGATAATAGAATAGTAATTATAATAGAGGATATCAGCTTAGCGGATTACAAACTAAGAATAGTGCGGTCTGGTGCTGTCGTTACCAAACCGCTGCAGTGTTTCAACGGCGGCGTTTGTCTGCCCCTTTCATCTTAGTATGCCTTCTATTTCCCTGTTTCCTTTCATCCATCGTTGCGTTCTAGATTTATTTCTCTACAGTTATTAGAACAGACAATATAATGGCAGCAATTAGAGACAATAGCGGCATTTGTGATAATATAAAAGGAGACGCGCGCACCTGCAGCAATAAAACAACTATGGCGAACATCTTTGCCCTTCTGTCCATTTCTCCTCCTAACAGACTTCCACCGTTCTACGGATCTCACTAAATATTATCATACAATATATATATATACCATACCAAATCTCCCGAATGGTTCCTCGACTAGCAACGCGTGACCCGAGTGCCTCCTTCATTAGTAACGTGTATGTTACTCTGAACACGTATGTTTCTCTGAACTCACCTTAATTTCGCGCACAAGAAAAATGAAAAAAGTTTTTTTGTTGAAAAGGGTGTGCTGCGCTGCCGCCGTCATATGAACAATTTATATTACCTGCCGCACCGTCCAATTGCTATTGCAATTTATTTACTAACTTCGTCATTCATTCACTGTAATGTATTACATCTCTAATGGATTTGTTGCCGTCGTTTTGCGGGTTGTTGATGTTATGCAGTTTTATTTGTCGACAGTACTAGATTGCTTATTGACATTTATTATAATTGGCGTCATAATCACATTTTCATCAGGAGTAAGCTTCTATTTGTGTTTTGCTTGCTTCGTTTCGAGTGGTGTCATCGACTGGTTCGATTGATTGATTAATTGGTCGTCGAATTTTTCCATGTTTACTTATTAGTATATATGAGAGACGATTACACCGAAGACCATTTACCACAGAAGAACTCGCTTTTTTCCCACGTCGTATTTTCCCTTTCATTCTCGTTACGCGTTTTTGTTGTCGCTGTTTTGTCAGACGAATGTGTCTGTTGTCTCTCCACGGCATTAACTGCCAATCGAAATAAGTGCGCGCAACATCAAAAACGTGTCGTTTTGCCGCGTATTTTTATTGATTGCTGCTGTTCTTGTAGGTGTTGATGTTGATGTCATCGCCGCCGCCGTCGTCGTCGTCTTTGTGGAGAATTCGCTGCTTTCTTTTTCGTTCTAATCCCACATTTAATCCCACCACTCGCTTGAGGCAGAGCCTCCACCAAAGCCACCGCCACCATAGCCACTTCCGCCGTAGCCAAAACTTCCGAAACCATTACGATGGCTCCCAGACGACGAGCTACTTCCACGTCCACCGGTTGGACCCCCACCGCCGCCGCTGCTGTTGGTATTGCGACTTACAAAGTTGCCTGCGTTGTAATAGCGATAAGTAACAATGGTGAGGAGCGACAACGACTGCTAATTAGCGGCAGTGCTCGTGTTTGCATTAATCAAGGGGTAGAGCCAGTTCTGGATACTAATCGTACATAGACACCAACTGAGTATACACGGAAGCAGGTGAAAATCGGACTGACCGCTATCTGCATTGAAATTATATATATATAAAATAAACTAAGCCGCACGAATAAATTAAATAGTGCCATAATCGAGTATAACTTACCCTGACGATAATCTCGGGAAGCAAATCCTCCGCTGGTGAAACGGCGATTGCTGCTGCCGCCGCCACTGCGACCACTGCGACCGAAGCCGCGGCTCTCCTCCTTCGCGAGACCTAGAAGCCAGTCCGGGCGTTCCTGCTTTGCTTCTTGAAGAAGCTCAGCTAGATCCGAAGCCAGATTGCGGTTCTTGTCGTTAAAGAACGATGTCGCCAGTCCGAGGTTACCCACACGGCCAGTACGACCAATGCGGTGCACGTATTCCTCGATGTCGGTCGGGAGATCGAAATTGATGACGTGTTTAACGTTGGGGATATCCAAGCCTCGGGCGGCCACAGCTGTTGCTACAATGATAGGCGTATGGCCCTTGCGGAAGCTTCGCAGGGCATCTTCGCGCTCTCCCTGACTCCTGTCGCCGTGAATTGACGTGACGGGGTAGCCTTCTTTCAGGAGGAAGTTCTCCAGGCTGTCGGCGCCCTTCTTCGTTTCTACGAAGACCAGTGTCAGGGTCTCCGCCGCTTCGGGCGCCAAACCGTCGGGACCACAGCGCAGTCCCGCGGCCTCCAAAAGGTCCAGCAGGAACTCCCTCTTGTCGTGCTCATCAACCCACACAATCTTTTGAGTGATGTTCTCCGAAGTGGAGCCCACTCTTCCAACGGCAAGGAAAATGTAGTCGTGTAGGAAGCTAGTGGCCAGCTCCTGAACTTTCTTGGGGAAAGTGGCCGAGAACATCAGTGTTTGACGGTCACCTGTCTCCGGCATCTGAGTGTCGTAAACGATCTTCTTAATTTGCGGTTCAAAACCCATGTCGAGCATACGATCAGCCTCGTCGAGCACGAGGAACCGTACAAGGTCAAGCGCCACCTTACCTCGCTCAATCATATCGAGCAGACGGCCAGGAGTGGCCACTAGTAATTGGCAACCTTTATCTAGATCTTTCATCTGTTGCACCGGCTCAGCGCCACCGTATACGACGCAAGCTCGCACACGGCTGCGGTACGAGAACTTGCACGCTTCGTCGTAAATTTGCTGGGCCAGCTCACGTGTCGGCGAGAGAATCAGCGCAAGAGGATACTGCTTCTGGCGCGTAGTGAACTTCTGCGGTGGTGGGATACGTTCAGGGGGGCCGTCGACCAGCAGCTTGTTAATAGATGGTATGAGGAAAGCTGCAGTCTTGCCCGAGCCTGTCTGCGCACAGGCCATAAGGTCACGGTGAGCCATGACAATGGGGATGGCATACTTCTGCACGGGCGTCGGTACCGTGTAATTAGCTAATTCGATGTTGCCTCGAAGCAACTCGCAGATCGTGCCGCAGTCATTGAAGGTGTCAATTGGCGGCGGAGGATCATTGCCAGAGACGTCGACGGGAATGTCCTCGTACTTTTCAAAGTTTATCCCAGAGCTCGTCCGACCGGCGTGAGGTGCCCCAAACAACTTGTGTTCCAAGGCTTCGTCACGCTCCAAAGCCTTTGTCCAATCATCACAGTGATCATTCCAGCGGCTTCCTCCTCGACCACCGTCACGGCCGCCATAACCGCCTCCCGAACCTCGGCCTCCATAGCCGCCGCCCCCGCCTCGGCCAAAATCGCTGCTATAGATCGATATATAATGTAGCAAACAGAAAAACCATACGTTAGAAAATATATGACATTCACAAACGAGATGCTACATATTGCAACCAATTCTTAATTCACTACCTTATATTCGCTCCTATTCAAACCTTACATACCCTCGATTATTGTCGCGATAGTCGTCTCCACCGCTACGCCAACTCGAACCACCGCTAGAAACAAAAACGCATCATCAGCATGAGAAACCACGAAAAGATGCTCGAAATCAGCGCAAATTTGATAAACGCAAGTAATACGATCGCATGCACACTCCTAAAGTGCAAAAGCATCACATTTTGGATCCTAATCCGGAAACCGTTTTTGGTTTAGAAACCGATTAGACTGGAGGGCCTCTCTGGTCGGCCTTAATTAATATTTAGTAGTAATAGATCGTTTATAATAATAGGCAATAATAATAATTATAATAATAGATGCAATGGAAAGCAACATGAGAAAACTTACAAGTCTCGGCGACCGTTGTCGTAACGGCCACCGCCGTCCCGTCCACCGAAACCTCCGCTGCGGCCGTAGTCTGTTGAAACAACAACGACAGAAGAAACAGGAAAAAGTCGCGAAAAATCACAGTGAATCAACCAAACCTCGTTGTGATCTTTTAACGGTACCGTGACTACTTACGCTCCTCTTTACTCTTAAGGTTCGTGGGTTCAAGACCCACGGTAGATACCACTAGAACCCTGTACCGCGTGCCAGTCGTTCTCTTGACGTCCGACTCCTTAACACAACGCAAAGCTTGCAGTATTTTTGGAATCCTTCTACATATATATATATATATATATATATATTATATATATATATATATGTATACATATATATATGTATATATGTATACATATATATATATATATATATGTATATATACATATATATATATTCTCTAGAAAATCTCTTCTAGTAAATATAATAGATTGGGGCATAGGCTGTTAATATAGGTACGTACTGTCTCTGGGCAGCCCGTCTCTCCTGCCTCCGTCGCGAGCCCCAAATCCTCCACCGTAGCCTCGGGGGCCTCCCTTATCGCCGCCTCGACGGTCAGGTCCTGGTCCGAAATCAGCTGGCGGAGGATTACCACCTCCGCCCCCTCCACGTAGTGCAGGGGGGACGTACTTGGCTAAAATATACCAAAGAAAAAAGCCAAACAACAGTTAAATAACCAAGATGCATTAACCACATAACTAATGAATGTGGTCAATACAATTAAACTGTTGGGTTAGCACACGGCATTTTAAATAGCACTGCGTAGTCCACTTATTCAACGTGGTTACGCGTAGATAAACGTTCCGCTCGTCTTGTAGCAAAAAAAAGCGTTCTGACCATGCCTTTCTACATGTAACAGCTTTTACATGCCACATAGTCTAAACAGCTGTTATGGAAACAAATATCTACGTACATCTAGGGACTAACTCCTTTCTTGGTGTAACCCTTTAGCCGTATCACATGACCCGTTCAGCCAGATACATTTAATAGTAGTAATAAATAATGATAATATAATTTAATAATGGAGAGACTAATAGTGAGATTGATGTTTGGCGGGTCGTGCCACACGTGACTTTAATGATGTTGTAATATTCAATATTAGCATATTCACTATTTTACGACACAAACACCTATGCATGCTGTTGGTACACTATATGCGCCACAATGACCAGCCATCAACGTCATTCAACGGGCACCATTACGTGATTCACAAACGTTAAGTTTAAACAAACAGCATTGATATAAATGTACCAAACCATGACATAAAACATGAGTCACTGGAAAGTGAAGCAGGATCAACGTTGTTGTATTAAGTCAGTATGAGAGGTTTGGCACATCATGCAACAGGCATTGCATCAATATTGGAATGTAAGAATGGGTGGCATTAAGTTGTTCAACTTAATGCCACCCATTCTATCCATCGGGGAGAATCGGTTGCGGATACTCTACCTTACGAGTCCCGCACCTAGATACCGTTCACCACACAACCGTCACACCAGCGTTTGGCTACTAGACTGATCCAATGATCCAGTCCACCCCATCATTAAAAGAACTATTAAGCATATTTGACATTCACTTCACGGCTATCATTACGCATTCTCGGTAAGTACTCATAGTAACGATAGTTGTCAGTTCATTATGCAAATTTGCAGAAAACTTTACGAAAAATGCACACGATTCAAATCAAGTACAAACAGTGGCACTTTGCTATGACTATAAACGAATGTATTGTTATAAAATAGAGCCGTGACTAGATTCCAGGCACTCGTCGAGAAACATGCTTGCTTATAATATAAGCATTTCTACCATTACATGTTCAGAGTCCAATTGAGAATTCGATGACAAAAGCGATTGAAACTTACCAGGCTTAGCCGAGTTTCCTTGTGACTGGGAACCCTGGCCTGAATCGCCTTTCAAGTCTAGAGCAGCCACCTAAAATAAATAAGTTTCGGTTAAAATTTGCGTCTGGAACAAATCTACGAATTTCCTGCGTAGGCTTAGATACAACTGACAGTACTTGACTGTTTACCTACGTCGAAGACGACACCAACACTATCCTATTCAGTATTTTGTTGGTCTATTAGATTTGCAGAGCGACGTACTTGGCATTATTAACGCCAACAACAAAATACTGTAATCCGCACCGATAATGCTTGTACTGTAAAAAGGACAACATAGCAGATCTAATTTTATTCACCAAGCGATGCTACCACCTATAGTGGTTACAAGGGACTTTGACAGAACAAATACAGATGTAGCGATTAATCATCATCGACGTCTTATTCTTAAAAGATGCGAGAACCCATCCCATTACCGCAATATTAAAAAAACGTGTCTTGCACAGCCTGGCATACCGAGTAATCGACCACTACCTAAATTGGATTCGCTCTTTTCGGTAAGTTAAGTCACATAACGTAATGCAGCGGCAGCGAAGCCAGGACCTCAGTCATCCCAAAAAGATCACTGCTGTCTAAATTGTATTCAGCACTGAGTCTACAGGCAATAAAAGCCGTACCTTCTACAAAACCCATAAAAAAAAAACTCATTATTAACACTGTCATCGCGCCTCACCCGATCGCCACATGACAGCGGTACAAGTTTGTACTTCGGTCATTGCTGATAAAGGTTCAGTTTAACTGTCCCTGATTTTGGGGAATGAATGAATATTCGGTGAAATTTGTTGTTTCAAAAATCCCGTGTGACAAGCAAAGTACTGCTCTTGCCTGAAGCTTGATATACTTACTGTAATGATAAGTGTATCAAGCTTCTATATACGCGATAGATACGCGAGAAATATATAAAGATCGCTACTACCAAATCGCTAAATAATAGAGAAATAATAATAATAAAGATCGCTACTACATACCAAATTCTTCGAAGTCGCTATGCAAAGAAAACGTAAGGGAATAAAAAATAAAGCTTTTTGGCTTATAACAAGTTTATGGAACTGCTGTTCACTTGGGTTTTCCATACAGTCCACTAAGCTACTCAAGTTGGGAGTCGATCATTGAGACAGCGCACAACTTCGCAATCATGAGGAGGAAATTATCCTATTATACATTTTGAGACAATGCATTGTGCCTATTTTCCCCATTCTTGTTAGCAGCGTTTAGCCATCTGCTCCATTAATTATGCAAATTGTTACAGCATCTGTACATGTTACCACATCAATAGGCTGGTCCAGTATTTTTTTTTAACCCCTCGAGAATGGGTAATATAAGCCACAGGCTACCAGAACAACCGGGACCCAAGCAGAAACACCGGCAGTACTAGGAAGCTGGTTGTTAACTGACTAGCTGCCACACTGATTTTCCATTTCCTCCTTTTCTGCAAAAATCTCATTGTTCTGGATATTTGTTGTCCGCCGATACCTACCCATTAGTAAATCTTTAGTACTACCGCTGAGCTCTCACAACAGTTCTTGTTAGCGTTGGCAATGCAGCTACTATTGAAAGAGCAGCAACCAGAGCAGTAGCTTGCGTCCATTTGACAATCTATCCGTTGATATTCGTGGCGTTTTGTTGAAGCTGCGGCGGAGAATGATCAACCATCGCAAATTTCCGTCCATTACCGTAGTCGTCAGACGGTCTAATCCTCAACCCGTCCAAACGCTCCCTCTCGAATATTACTGCCAAAAGGGGCCATCATCGGCAATCACAACGGCACTATCTACCAGTTCCACCTGTAACACTATTACTACTATATCTACCAGCAAAAGGCATCACGACCGATGATGATCTCGCAACCAGCTGCCATTGGTGACTGCTTGGATCTTGCTACGATAACGCCATCGTTGACGGTCAGAACCACAATGAGCACAAGCCGATGGTTGTGGTAACACTGCTAATGTATTACCGGCTACCGGCGGTCGCTTCTTTCAAACAACCAGTTTCACCCGCCGCTGCGTCAGCGACGAATAACGGGCGAGTGGGAAGCTTGATTGCTGCTGCTGCTACTAGTATTCTATTATTTTTGACTGTAGCTGTGAACGTTGATGCCGCTTCAGTACAAGCGCCATCAGACTGAGCGGTCGAGTGAGTGCTTTGGCGGCGACGCAAATAATGGCGGCAGCAGCAGCGACGCTAGTTGTTAGTCTTGACAGCGTGTCGATCGCCCGCCCTCCGCCGCTACAACAGCCAGAATATCAGCAAAAACAGACAGCGACGGATTAACAGACAGATGACATAATATCATGGCAGCGGCTTCGTGGATGAGCAATCAGCCCACTGCCACAACCAGCTGTAACTACAACAGCAGCGTCACAACCCGCAATGGTAGCAGCATAGACTGAACAACGTTATGAACATGCAAATGAAACCTCACCGGCCCCTTCTGAACACGACAGCCGCCAACTCTAGCTGCCATTTACTGCGTCACCATCAGAATCTTTCTATTTATAAAAAAAAAAAAATGAACTAGCGAACCAAGCCACGGGATATTAAATGCAATGTAAAAATCCGAATGAACTGGGTAGAAGACGTGGAAACGTAAAATGAAATACTACCATAGCCAATAATGCTCACGATTAAACTATCCGTCCGAAACAAATGTACCTATTATTATAAACCACAGAAGCCAGCCCGTAAAATGACTCACCGCCTGAGACGTAACATTTTTCATGTAAGTGCTCGCAAATCCTCGCAAAGAATTACTCTAACTTTTCAAACTGTAACGTAAATTGTACGAAAAACGGATCCCATGGTGTGGCCTATTGAAGGATGGACAGACCTAAGGTAAAAGCACGAATTCTTGTTGCTGTCATCATCTGTTCCTCATCTGTTTAGCGGTACCAAACCAAATACTGCTTTCACTAAATGGCGTATATAAACGAATATGGCCGGTTGACTGAGCAATGAACTGCGCCCAACGATTTTTATTACTGTTCTGATAAATATTGCCTGAATATAACAATCATGAGCAAAAAATAATGACACAAAAGAACCTCCACAATATCATGGCGGGCCATTCTCACTTAGGGCTTCTGAAATCATTTTAGAGGAAACGTGTATCGAGCAAGGTACAACGAACAACTCGTATCATCGAACAACTAATGGTCATCTACTCTACGCCTTGACCAAAACTTTTCGATCCGTCGCAGACAATTCTGTGATGAAATAGTTACCCATCGATGTAGTCAAGATGCTCGCCAGTTCGTAGCTGATGACACCATTAACGATTCGGAGTCAACGTAGGTCGACTCTGGTTCATTTGTATCCGCATAGAAACGTTTAACATACCCGTGTTAACCACGACATAGTACATACCGACTGATGAATGTTCTGATGAAAGTTAGCACCGTCACGTTTCACAGATAACTAACCCAATTAGCCAGTACTTCTGACCCTAACAATCACGAGGGTAAACCCTTGAATCAACTGATACTCGTTCCCTATAACCGCATTATGCTTGTTTCTGCTTGTTATCTAACTGCTCATCAACGTATTTTTAAGTAGCATTTAGGCCTAGTAATGCTCTAAAGCTGCGTGCATATCTATACATACACAATTCGCAGATTAAACAACAACTGCGACTGTCGCACAACTCGACAAACACCTTACGAGATACGTTAAGATGGGACACGATACTGCCATCTCAAAGTATAGACATAGCATTTTTCAATAAATGCCTCGACCTCACCGCCAACACTGTTCCTAGTTCCAGTACGATTCAAACACAGCATATAAATTCATACCAGTAGCTGAGGCTATACCGACACCAACTCTACAGTAATCCAGCCCCAGTGTAATTCTTCCCGTTGCTGCTGCCGCCAACTTGCACATATTTAAACCAACATGTGGGCATCAAAGCATTATCCTAAATAAAATTTTAATTTTAACCCAATAAAAATTTTGGAAGATTAGTCTTATTCGTACATAACTACAGACAATGTTAGCGCAAGTAAACTGATATATTCGGAATCACGTACAAAACTGGCTAAGCAAGAGAATAATTAAAGGTAGGCAAGCCTCTTGCGAGAACTCGCATCAATAAGGCACGCGGTTGCGTACAATGGAAAATTTGACAGCTAAGTGGTATATATATACACACACACACACATACATATATATTATATATATACACATACACA